CAAGTTCTTTCTGAATCTGATCTACTGCTGTGTGTAATTCCTTGGTGGCTCCTTCTCCCTCATTCTCTCTTTCTCTGGCTTAATTAGTTTTCCTTAAAAATGAAGTTCCGAGCCATTGAGCATTCACTAAGGAAACATCAAACTAGAAGAAAAATACCAAAGATAGCCTCGGTTGTAGCCCTAACTATTCTGTTATCAGTTATCTCCATTTATTCCCCTTCAACACAATTCCATACGAAGAGAGCATCCAAACTTCCTTCTGAGTTTGATTCTGCGGAGGAACCAGTAAAGCCAACTGCTCCTTCGGGTGCCCTTTTGGAGGCATGTCGTAATGAGCATGATGGTTCTGAGCCCTGTAACCACAGAGAAACAGAAGTAGAGGACCAAAAAGTAACAAAAGCGGACGAGGAGGAGCCACCAAGACTAAAGGGAGAGGAAGTTGAGGTTACAAAGTCAGCAGAAATAGAAGCACGGGGATCACAAGAAGAAGAATACTGTGACTTATTCTCAGGGGAGTGGGTTCCGAACCCTGAGGCACCGTACTATACCAACTCTTGTTATGGAATTCAAGAACATCAGAATTGCATGAAATATGGAAGGCCTGACATAGAGTTCTTGAAATGGAGGTGGAAACCAGACGGCTGCGAACTGCCCATATTCGATCCACGCCAATTCTTGCAACTCGTCAGGGGAAAGTCTATTGCCTTTGTCGGAGACTCCGTGGCAAGAAATCACCTGCAGTCATTGATGTGTCTCTTGTCCAGTGTAAGTTAACTATCACCTCTAAAAAAATTTGCTAATTCAACGTATTGTCCGAGATCTAATTTATTGTCCAAGATCACCAGTATCACCTCATTGTTACATCTTGTTTTCATCAATATCAGAAGATAGGATCTCTGGAAATAAAAATAATAATTAAAAGAAAAGTTTGTGAGGCTTTACGATGATTGGTGGACAGCAGGCAAAATATTTGATCGGTTGTTGCTAGTTTCCCTGAATTCTTCTACGACTGAGATTAAATGCATCAATGTCACCTTTGGCATAATATACACGTATTAGTACTGAAATCCTAATTAGCATTGAAGCTAAAGTGCTACCTAATTTCATACATCAAAGAAATCATTGCTATCATAGTTCACTACAAGTAAAAAAATGTAGTGCGTTTCACAGACACCCCCCAAAAAGGAAACCCTTTTTTTGTTGTGTGTGTGTGTGTGGGGTGGGGAGAGAAACTTATTGTTGTCCCATTTGATTTTGTGTAAATTAAACTTCTCTCCCTATGATCAGATGGAGAAATTAAATCTTTTCACGTTATTTCCAGGTGCTTTATCCTCGAGAAATTTCAAAGTCAACTGATGAGAACAGGCACTGGGAGTACCAAGGATACAATTTTAGAATGTCAATCTTTTGGGCTCCTTATTTGGTAAGGTCAGTTGAGGTAACTGGTCCCAAGGACAGGACCCGCTCTTTTAGTCTATATCTTGACGAGTTCGATGAAAATTGGACGACCAAAATTGAAGAATATGACTACTTTATCATCTCCGCTGGCCACTGGTTCTTCCGTCCAACCATGTTCTACGAAAAGGGCAATTTGGTCGGCTGCCAATATTGTCCACAGGAGAATGTCACTCGCTTGACAGCATACTTTAGCTATCAAAGGGCTTTGAGAACAGCATTTAGAGCCATTAATAGCCTGCAAAATTTCAAGAGTGTAATATTTCTGAGGACATTTGCCCCCTCACACTTTGAAAATGGAACTTGGGATAGCGGTGGAAACTGTCCTAGGACCAGGCCTTACAAGAGAAATGAAGCCGTCTTAGAGGGATATAATTTAGAGTTGTACAAGATCCAATTAGAGGAACTTAGAATTGCGCAGGAAGAAGGAAGAAGGAAACCAGGATTGAGGTTTAGGTTATTTGATGCAACGAAAGCTATGCTGCTGAGACCGGATGGTCACCCCAGCGTGTATGGCCATTTGGCTGGTCAGAAGTTGGAGTTGCCCAGAGATTGTGTGCATTGGTGTTTGCCTGGACCGATCGACTCGTGGAATGATATTTTGTTAGAGTTATTAAGGAGGGAGTTACGTAATTAGCAGCATTCTGTCGGTCGCTGAATGAAAAAAAGAAGGGATATTTGAATCTAAGATGTCTAAAGTTTGAGGTCTCAAAGTTGGACAACTCCAATATGGATCCCTTTGATTTTATGATCAATGCTTTCATTTACCTTTACTTTTTAAAGCTGTGGGTGGTTCCCTTTTTCCTTTCTCTTTGTCCGAAGTTGGCAATCCGGTGGATACACATTGAATAACGCCGTTATTACTTCAAAGATTCCAGTAGTACAATACTAAAACACTCCAAAACAAAGATTCAAAAGTAATTAAGAAAATATTAAATAATTATTCTATGTTTTAAACAAATAAACTACTAAAATTTGACTAGAATAATAACTTCTAAAGTAAAAATACGAAACGTCAATAATTAGAAATAAATGAGAGTCACAAGTACAATATGCAGGTAATTAGAACTTTTTCTTCTTAGTATATTTACTTATCTAAAATTAGCAAAATACATATGGTAACTTTTGTTAGTATCCTCTCTGTTGACGAGAGAGCGGTGAATAGGGTATTGGCCTGGGGTGTAGAAGTATGTGCATGTATGATGCCGCCGCATGTTGGCAGTCCTCTTGGTTTTCAAAAGTTAAAAAATGCATATCAGTTTTTTTTTTTTCTAAGGAAAGAAAACTTTCATTAATGCATGTCAGTTTTAGCAGCTTTTATAATGGGGGTGGAAAATTATCCCAACATACAAATCTGTTCTCGAAATTTAAAACTAACTTAGCGAGCAAATGAGCTGGGACATTTCCAATTCTACAGGCATGAACCACATTAGATTTTATGGAATCCTTGAATTAGGTTCCTTACTTTTTCTACTAAATGCCAGTTCAAGAACTGGTGGTGTGGAACTCCAAAGATGGTTCAAAACCTGAGCTTTTCTGTGTTCATAGACCGGAAAGAGGTGAGAGATGGGACTTCAGTAAGGAGAGTGCTGGAGGGAGGGTTTTAGTGAAGAAGATATCAAGAGGATGAGGGACAAGATAATTGAGAGTTTATTCCCAGGTTTGTGTATGCTTTTCCCAGCGAAGGATTGGGCAGTGACGCCAAAGATGCCTGCGACATTGCCGTTGAGGGGGTGCTACAAATAATATTCCAAAGGCCATGAAAGCGTCGTGGCACTATTTCAAGATAGCAAGGTACACAAATTTACGTACATGATTTTTTTATTATAAATATATTTTTTATTTTATATACATCACATTAATTTAAAAATACTCATATTCGAACACGCTCATCGATTTGTATTTCAACGACTAGAACAATGTACCATGCCCATAAGTTAGCTGTTTCAGCTAGGGCTTCGTAACTTTTCTGTTAATAAGAATGTCAGTTTTGCATTGGTGTCAGCTAAAATTTTTTTTTTTTTTTTTTTTTTTTTTTGAAAAAAGAGCTTTGGCGGGCAATGGACGGCGAGTAAAGCCCAGTGTTCCAGAAGGCTCACAAAAATGTAAAAATGACCAGGAGATGTATACTTATTGGGGCAGACTTAGCTCAAGCCCGTTAGAGAACTTTGGGCCATGGTCAGCCTTCGTAATTTGAGGCCGACTTTTTTGTTGGGCTTCATCATCAGCTCAGGGCTACAACCCAGTATTTGAAAGAGAAAAGACACGCGAGCTTTTGCATTTGAAAGTCAATTTTTTTTTTTTTAATTTTTAAGCTCCAGAAGGCTTGGTTAAATTAGTGCTTCAACGAACGTCACATAATAATATTCTTCTTCTGTTGGTCTGTGGTGTTATGTTTTCTGTTCTGACAAATCATTTCCAGCCAAAAAACAATTTCTCCATGGGTAACTTTTTCCTCAGGCAGATCACACTTGAATGTTTCGTCTGCATTTTAATGAAAGTTTTCCAACTCACGTTAAAGATACAGAGCGCCTCAAAAGCAGAAAAAGAAAGAAAAGAAGAGCGTGGTGGGGATAAGTGGTAAACATTCAATGCTTTGAACAAACAGCGTATCAGAGAAGAGGAGGACGTATTTTTAAGCCCACGTCCATGTCCATGATGTTTTTTAAGATGGAGTACAATAAATTTTTTTTAATTCCTCCTGAATTTTGGTAGTGTAATCTGTAATGGAAACTTTAAGCCATAATTTCAGGAAATGAGTCGACCAAAGGGGAAACACCCCACGCACTCACGCCTTCATCAGCGGGGCTCCAGAATTTTCTTTGTCAACCCACAGCCGCCGCCCACCGGGCGAAGTCAAGTCTTCTTTTCGAATAGTGCATTAACTTCTTATAGTAGTAGCAGGAGTAGTTACTATTTCCCCCAGATCCGTTGGAAGCTACAGAATTGCAAACAAGTACAAGTCCTATCCTGTGGCGCCAGCACAGGAGATAGTAAATATAGTACCAACCGGATGATTTAAAAGGACAAACTTAGTCCCGAGATGGATGACAAGGGTGGCAGTCTAGTTTGTTTGGATTGTAAGTTATTTGAGATATTTTTACTGTAGCACTTTTTATGATGTGATGTATGTGAGATAAAAAGGTAATTGAGAAGGTAAAAAGGTGTATTGAAAATTGTAATGATGATGTAAACAAATATATTTGAAGAAATAAAAGCCAATCCAAACAAACCCTAGTGTTCCAACCTTTTACCAAACTAATTTTCCTGCGCATATGCACCCCGACCCAAAAAATATACAAGACGATAGAAGGAATCAAACCTGACCACAAGGTACCAAGATCTAACTAGACAATCCCAACGCCAACCGAACCAACTCGGAGGAGGAGCCTCGTTTAAAGTTCCCTTGTTAAGAAAAATTTTACGACTATTTGAGAAAACAAGAAAAATAAATAAATAACTACTAAAGGATAAGACTTGCGTGCTCTTTACGGCGGGTTTCCTTCCCTCCCTTTCATTGCCCAAGCAAAAGAACAAAAAGGGGGTAATCACCAGTCCTTCGATTTCTAATAAAAGAATATCAGTCCGAATAAGGAAACTTACCCTGCTAGTACCATAGTCACTGGGTAGTTATTGAAGGTTAAACTGGGGGTGTTGGGAGAGGGACATTGCTGGTGAATAATTAATGGTGAATGAGCACATTTCATTTCACTTTACCCCCAAATCTTCCTAAAATCTTTTAGTTTTAGACGACTAACGTGTGCTGGACAAAGTAGTAGAGCATCGTCAAATGCATGAACCAATAAAACTATACCTTGTCTCTGTCGGTGGAAACCTCCCTCACGATATCAGAACCCACATCCGCCCTCAATCACTCCCTAGTCAGTAGCTCCCATACCTGCTAACATTTCCACTTCTTTCCCACCACCACGTCCAAAAAAATTTATAAGAAAAATGCTTCCGGCCTGCTCCAACAACCCAATCTCATCATCATCATCATCATCTTATTCGTCGGACCTCCATAATTTAAAGAAACCCAAAACCCCTGAACACCACCTTCCCATGAAGAACGCCACCACCTTCAATTTCCTCCACACCCACATCTCTGCCAACCCTCGATTCTGGCTCTTAGCCGCCTTTCTCTCTGTCCAAGCTCTCATTCTTTTCATCACTCGTTCTGCACCGCTCTCTCTTTCCCCTAAGCCCCCAGCAACGAACCAACCCCATTTTATCCAGCATCGCTTCCCTACCGAAAGTGATGTCCGTGACCAACGCAGCAACAGGCCTTCCATTCCCGATGACCCGGAATGCCAGTCCGGCAGGGTCTACATCTACGACATCCCTTCTATGTTCACCAAGGACTTGGTGCTTTCCGAATGCAACGATCTTCATCCGTGGAGATGGCAATGCGGCATTGGTCCCAACGACGGCTACGGCAAAGACGCCGTTGAGCTCGCCGGAATTCTGCCGGATAATTTCGTTCCGGCCTGGTACCGTACCAACCAATTCTCTTTAGAACTTATCTTTCACTACCGCATGTTAAACTACAGGTGCAGAACTCGGGAGCCAGAGTCTGCTACGGCGTTCTACATGCCCTTCTACGCTGGACTGGCGGTTGCCAAGTACCTCTGGATCAACGACACTGCCAAGCGTGATTGGCATTGCAATATGTTCCTCAAGTGGGTCAAGAACCAAACCTACTGGCAGAAGAACAAGGGCTCGGATCATTTCATCACGCTGGGCCGCATCACATGGGATTTCCGCCGGTTATCCGATCCGGGAAGAGAGTGGGGCTCCAGCTTCCTCAACTTGCCGGAGATGGAGAAAGTCATGCGCTTCAACCTGGAGAAAGCCCCCGGGATCGACCTGGATATCAGCGTACCTTACCCAACTGGATTCCACCCTCACTCCAAGAAACAGATCCTCCAATGGCAAAGCTTCCTGCGCAAACAAAACCGCACCAGTTTGTTCACGTTCATCGGGGCCTCACACGGCAGCTTAGACGACGATTTTAGGTCATTACTGCTGAGTTATTGCTACAACGAGTCGACGGCTTGCCATGTTGTGGACTGCGCCCTGACTCCCTGCAACAACGGTTCGTCGGTGGTGTTGAAGGCTTCCTTGAGTTCCCATTTCTGTTTACAGCCCAAAGGCGATAGCTATACGAGGAGAGGGGTTTTTGATTGCATGGTGGCAGGTTCAATCCCGGTGTTTTTCTGGAAGAGAACGGCTTATGATCAGTACCAATGGTTCTTGCCGGGGAAACCCAAGAGTTACTCGGTCTACATAGACCATGAGGACGTGAGGAAAGGGAAGTCGATAAGGAAAGTGTTGGAGGGGTATAGCAAAGAGGAGGTGAGGAAGATGAGAGAGAAAGTGATCGAGACTGTACCAAGTCTTGTGTATGCTAGGCCTAAAGATCCGTCAGAGAGTATTGGAGATGCTTTTGAGATTGCCGTTGAAGGTGTTCTGGGAAAGCTCAGGTACGAAAAAATATGGAATGAAGAGTGGAAAGATGACGAAGATGATGAGAATGTACTGACAAGGTAACGATCCTTTGAGAACTGTTATCGTTTCCCCAGGTGCAAATATACAGTGGGAGTTGAGGAGAAACAGAGAAAACCATGCCTGGATGGGATTATCCATACCACCTGAATCCTGCTACTTAGATTTGCAATATTCACAGTGACGGTAGAACTTCCATAGTAGGTAGTCGCTCCTGTTAGTTCTGAATTTTACTTTAGTCTTCTATAACGTACACAACCAAGGCGTAGTGAGTCGGAAAGATAATAAAATCACTAAGGAGCTGGTTATAGCTTCGATGTCTTACATCACAGCTCAGCCACCGCAGGCTGCTGGTTTGGTTTTAGATTTATATTTATAATAGAAAAGATGGGGTAGAACAGAATATCTTTAGATTGACAAATCTTGTAATGTCAGCATTTTTACTTATGGCGAACAGCAGAAAAGGGTAAAACCTTGGATAGACCTAGTCTTGTAGGTCTAGTGACCCATACTTTGTCAAGTCTTCAGAACTTGAGTTAAGTTGGTGAGATAATGTGACAAATTTTGAGCCACTAGATTTATATAGACCGAATCTATCCAAGCGTTCAACAAAGAAAATTATACCATACGTGAGAGCTCAACATAGACTAAGCTCATCAACTATGTCTACTTCAGATTTATGTAAAGGTTGCAACGCTTTCTAATCTTGAATTAGACATGAAATGAATCAAATTCTGCAGCACAAACATCCATCCAACTACATGACGAGCAATTTTAAATTTTCAACAACCAATGAAACTAAAAAGCTAGTAGTATTTAGACCTAAAAGGCTAAAATTTAAAAAAAAAAAATTTAGAGTCTATCCAAGGGAACTTCTCTAACTAACTATTCATGGTTCACTCTAATCTGTACATGACTGCTCGCCAATTACCTCAGAGCATATCAGTTTCTGGGTTAGACAATGAAACCACACATCTACATGGTAAATCAACCTTGAAATCAGTGAAACTCTTCCCCCTTCCAGACTATGTCCATGACTTTCAATTGTGAATTAGATCATCTAAAAAATGCTTCATCCTACCTTCTGAAATCCAAAACGCAAACTACGTTATTGGCAAAACAAGCAGCAATTTTATCACCTTCCTTGTTCCAGCAGACTTCGAATATGCCTCCATTGCCAGTATATCTTTTGATAATCTTGCTTTCTTTCAGGGACCAAATGAGCACACTCTTGTCAAGAGAGCCACTGGCCAGGTACTCACCATTTGGGCTAAAAGCAACAGAGTACACAGGTTCCCTGCCAATCCAATCAAAATGCTGCTGTAGTTATACACCCAGATGCACAAGTATGTGGTCAAAAAGCAAGAATCAACAAAGATGTTTCCCCCACATAGACCTTTGAGCATTTCTAAAACAAGGTAAACTCATCAGATCAATAAGCTAGTAACAATTAATCTCTAAAAACTCAAAAACTTTCAAGAATTGAACAATTTTATAAAGATGAAATTTGTTTTACATTTAGAAGGTAACTGATCCAAGCCCTGGAAGTCAGAAACTAATACTTTAGAAACATCTCCAATATATTCAGACTGTTAGTGGCATGCACTATATACCCATGCTTTAGATCAGAAGGTGAGATAAACTGCAAAGAGCCTGAGTGATTCTATACCTAGGTAAATTGCCTCTAGGTACACAAATTGTAATTGTTCCAAATTTCTCCTTAAATTATCATGATATTTAGTGAACTCTCTACCCAAAGAACAATGTGATTATGCGATACAAAACATTAAATCCCTATTCTGCTTTGTAATGCCTGCACCTACAATGCAACAGACAAAAGATTTTAGAGGTTTTGCACCTGTGACCAGTCAGGCTGCAGAGAAGTCTCCCCTGTTCAACATCCCATAGCTTAACTGTTGAGTCAAATGATGCACTGCAGGTGGGAATGGGTGAGCAGATTTTATTCTACAAGTCTTTGCAAGAAAAATAGCACTTTTCATCCTAAAACCACTTCACCTAGTTACTTAGCCCAATAGCATATTACATATAAACAAGGAGAAAAACAAAGAAAAGTCAAATAATATATAAAAAATAGGTTGGCATTCATATAATCATAAACTGATCTACTGTCTGCAGAAGCTAGTGCATGTTTCTTGCAAAGGAACAATTCCTTGACCAAGATCCGATTCCACTAACTCTAGTGTATGAATGATAATTTTATTTTTCAATAAATCATATTCGAATACCAAGTAAATAAACTGATTTATCTTAATTTAGGCCCTTCTCAGGATGCCTAAACATTTAAAAATGAAAATAGTTTTATATGGCATCCCCCTTACTACACTCCATCCATGAAAAGATGCCAGCTGTAATCTCACTCTGGACAGATTAACAATGCCGAAGGATAAATACATGGTTAACAATGCCAAAGGATAAATATAAGTCCCATTATTTAAAATAAATAAATAAAAAGCCTAATGTATCTTATCAAACCACTCTTGACCAGACAGAGTGAATGCAAAAGTCCTAAACTTGCATTTGAGGGTGGAAGCCCATTAATCATCAAATAGAGGGAACAGGACTCAAGAGCCCAAATCAGGCTTCCTGACTAAAATTTTCACCAAATTCTTTTAAAAAAAGCACCCCATAATTTCTACTTTAAAAAGGGCATTCCCCCTGTGATGCGCGTTTCAGGAGACACAGCAATACAGAGAATCAGATGCACTAAATGGAAATGCTTTCTAATGAAAAACAATTTCCATGAGCTTCTTATTTTAAAATTGCATTGCGGTTAATAATCATCAGCATCAGACAACGTAGTTGATAATTGAAAATCATGAAAAGCTACAAGTGCACAGTATAACCATTTAAAGCAACCTTGCCAACAATAACGGCAGATTTGGATTATTTGTGCCAGGTCCGGTGGGACTCCATCTGATAGTATATATCTCCTGTAATTAACAGATGACACAAATGAGATTCAAATGGAATGCAAGAGCTAAAGAATGTGAATTTTAGCAGAATTCAAAAAGAGTAGTACTTTATCATGTTCCTTAAAATCATGAATGCACTTGTCCTGCTTCAGGCTCCATATCTGCAATATGACTCCCACGCCGTTGAAGAGAATATCGGAATATCTTACAGAAAACGTGCAAGTCTATGTGTATTTTTGTTGGGGAACTTATAAACTCACACATTTCGCATGAAATACGCATGTATATTACTTAGCTGTATGGGATCATAACTTAAGACAGTGCCATTCCTAAGCAAAAAAAAAAAGACCCTCGACTAAAGGTTACAGAAAAGAATGAGGCTACAAATATTCTAACTGTGTTGAAGAGCTTTCTAATTTCATGACAAATGAGGAAGCAAAGAACACATTTATCGAGGGAAAAGGGAGCCATATTAAACCTTTGCAGTGACATCATCGGAGCAGGATGCCAACAACGTACCAGTTGGATCCCACTTGAGACAATTAACTTCACCCTGAAATCAAAATTGTCGAGGCAGAGGCATCAGCTTCTTCAAAAGTTTTATGCTACGCTTACCTCCATCTGATAAACCTCACAGTCCAATCAGAATACCACAAGAGCAAAGCTAAACAAACTTCCAAAGTTAAGATTGCCTAACAAAACTGGCAAGCCCCAACTATAAAACTGAAACTGCTAGGCAAACTTTGAACCTTTTGTAAGATTTTCTAGGCATTGCAACAATGATAATAAGTCTGAGATTTGTATAAAATGCAAACATGACCTGTAGTAACTAGGAAAAACAAATTCACAATTGCAGGGGCCCAAATTGTGAGTGCAAACCTGATGATCAGAGAAGGTTTTTATTGGTGAAGTCTCTCCAATCTTGCACACATAGATCATATGGTCAGTGGAGCTGGTTGCAAAAGAAACATTATTTCTCCAGTCAACATCTAGTATTGGGCCTACAAAGAAACACATTTAAAGGTGTTGGCAATTATGCTAAAACTGCTCCACAAAGAAATGATTTCTCAAGGACAAAATTAACAACACAGCACCTGAATGGAACTCAAACTGTTGTTTGAATCCCTCAGTTTTTACGTCCCATACAACTGCAGTCTTGTCACAGCTTCCAGTAACAATATAGTCACATTTCTTGTTCCATTTCAAGGAGAAAATGGGTCCCTTGTGTCTGGTTAAAGTACTTTTCAGTTCACCTGAAAGCGCAGGATTATGTACACTTACTATAAGCTTGAGACAATTCCAGAAAGGCAAAATTAGAATCTAAAATTCTAAATGCAATATCTTGAACAGAAAACAACATAAAGAGCATAATTTCCACTACCAATGACATAACAAAAGGACCAGCCAAATATCTCACCATCTGTGCTCCAAATTCTAGCTTGCCCATCATAAGAACCTGTTGCTAGCAGCGTCCCATCAATCTAAGAATGAAAGCAGAAAACTGACTTAGGCATGAGAATCCAGGTCTTGAAGGTTTGGAGCATATAGGAACAAACAAGTGAAGAACAGGCTAAAGTGGGAATAAGGAATAGAAGATTGTTTGGTTTATATAAGCTTTTAGTTACAGACAGTAAAGCCTTTCCAAAGACATAATCATGAGTCCAGATAAGTCACCAACCGATAGCAACCAGGAGGTGCCCTTGAAAGCAACCCCTTCTAAGAGAAATGTAATAGATCACTAGTCTAATTTGACAGAGAGATTTTAACCCAGTATAAAGATATAAAAAGGTATCCCTGGACCTGAAAGTCACTCTGTGGTGCCTACTTTGCTTGCATTACTCCTCTTTCTCAGGGCATTAAGTAATCAATTAAATTGATAGGATGTTAAGCAATAACGAGAAACCAATCCAAAAAAATTTAATACTCACATTCCAATCAATAGCTGTGACATCTTTGCTTTTCTCATTTGTTTTAGCTTTTACATGCAGCAATACTATTTCACCAGCAGGACCATTTTGTGAACTTGATTGATTGGTCCCATCACCAATTCTCCAAATCCGCGCTGTTGAATCTCCAGATCTGGTTGCATAAAACAATCAGCCACAACATAAGAAGAATTTCAATAAGGAGGCTCGGAACACTGCAAGTGTGGTTGTTACCGTTACCAATGATAATTCTTACAGCTGTGCAAAGGGTACCCTATGTATACACAGGAAAAGACTCTGGTTTAATGAATTAGATGATTATTTGCCAAGCTAAGTTGACCCCAATTTATTTCAAGAAGAGAAAGATAATGAAAACACAATTTTAAAATTTGGAAAATATTCATCCAAAAAAAAAAAGATAATAGAAAGCCACAGAATAGCTGTAAAAGAATGGCCTAGATAGGACTTCCCCAATGTGGATGTGCAGCCGATAAGTATCAACAGTAAAAATTGGACTCTCACTGTGCAACCAAATAAAATTTGCTAAGAGCTACACAGAACAAACTCTAGTATTTTACCTGAAATTGCAAAAAAGACACAGGTAAATTTATGCCTGCAAGCAAAAGTTGAAAAGTAACTACATTATAATATCATTTCCTAAGCCAGTACAAGTAGCTGTTTATGCTGAAAACTGTTACTCACAAAGGGAGGAACTTATTTAAGAAACTGCTTAAAGGGGGTCTAACTATGGAGTCCCCAACAAACGAATAAAAAGTTTCCCTGTATAACTAGTGTAAGGCATTTGCCTGATATTCTAAATTCTTATTGGCACTATACTGTTAAAATTAGTTACTCTTCTTTGAATACAAGCACCTAGTTTGAAACAAACAACCAATCCCAAGAAAAGTCTTCAAATTAAGTACCAATATTTCCAAGATAAATTTTCTTCACCAATTTTGTTCCTTGTGACTATAAGCAGGCCAACTAAACATGGAGACAAACAGCTAATTCAGAAACTACTACATGAAAAGATGACCTAATTCAGCAACTACTACTTGAAAATATGACCTAAATCAGCAAAAATTAACTGTCATTTCCCTGCCATAGCTATAGAATACAAATGACAACCTTCTCCTAGAAGCAAACTGACAACTATAGCAATATAGCCAGTTAACCAAAAATTGATTCAACTTGAGAATTATTAGGAACTTAAATAAAGACAAACATGTCACTCCAATACAAGTTCTGAAACATGAAGACCCACCCTGATGCAAGGAGTGAACCTGACGGGCTCCATGCACAAGCACAGACCTACAAAGAAGAAAATCACCAGGACTGATATGAAAGAAATATAGAACAAGATAGTAAAATTGCAAACATGAAAAATTCAGGAAATAACAAACCTCAGAAGTGTGGCCTTCCAAAATCGTGACATCACAGCTAGTAAGTTCAACAATTTGAGATGTAGAGGTGGTAGAGATTTCCATTGGTTCTGGTCCAATAGCCAATCACAGAGAAAAATCACTTACAGATAATTGACCAGCATCAGAAAACAGCAATTGGTGGGAAAGAATCCAAACTATGAAAATCAAACCTAAGCAGGAACTAAGCATTTAATATAAGCACAGTTTCCTGAATACTAACATTTGACTGCCTAATTGTGCTAACAGAATCCCTTTCTATTTGATAAGAATTACAGAAAATTAATCAATTAGTGTGGACAGATTTTTGACCATGCAAGAGATGACGTGTCTGGAACAAGAAAGATGCCAATCCAAATCCATGATTTAATTATTAACGTTTATCCAAGGCCAGAATGTGGATTAAAGTTAAATACTAGGACATGGTAAAGAAATAAAATTTTTTAAAAAGATTAGATAAAAAACTAACCATCTAAGTAAAATATATATAACTTTCATGTATAATTTAAGAAATGTGGCTCGCACCAGGTGAGTAAATGGATCAATCTACCAGGTTCAATTTGAAAGGAAAATTTCCACAAAAGCATAAATTGTAGTATGAATAACTATACATCCATGGCAGGATTGAATCAGTGACCACAGCACCGGAAAATGTCAAGGCAACAATCTTTATGCAAAGAAAATGTACAGAAAAATCATAAATCGTAGTATGAATAACTATAGATCCCTGACTGTATCGAATAAGTGACCATGGCCCGACAAAATGCCAAGGCAACTATCTTTAAGCAAAGAAAATATAAGAGAAAAGGCAAGAGAAAACTACAACATTTTGCCTCTAAGTTGCAGCATAGATATAATATCAAGATATCACATGCACTTGACTAGTCTTCAAGTATCAAATCCACATCAAATTAACATGCAAAATCCCAAAACCCAATGGAAATGAAGAAGTTTATGCAGCTTTACCCCCAGAAACCCCATTTTCTTCATTTCTAACATTTTTCTGGTCTTCATGATTGGTATCAACCTCTTTGTCATTGTGATAGCTATGCTCCTTTTCTCTTGGCTTCTCTTCTGTTCGCTCTGTCTCCTTTTCACGCTCTCTTTTCCTCACTTGTTTTTCCCTATCTTTCACCAGCCCATGTGCTTCTTCATGTTGCTTATCCAATTCTTTCTCCTTTGTTTTTTTCAGTTCATTCTTTCTCCTCTCCTTTATTGTACGACGCAACTCATAAACATCCTTTGTGATGAGATCGAGAGGTTGTAGAAATGAAAAATCCTCATCCACATCAGAGTCAGCCTGCAGGCTTAAAACAAATTCTATATCAAGCCAAAATGACACATTTATAGATCCATCCAACTTAAATTAGGAATTGATAAAGAAACAAACAAGTGCAGTGCAATCCTGCAATCCTAACATTACTCAAGTTTGCTTCCATCTCTAAGTACTGAAGTCCTTTTTGTACAAAAGTGACAAGTGCTCCAGGTGGAACCAAACTGCCATCAATCTGGCACTTGTTGATACATGCCTCATACCCAAAAGCAAAAGCTGAATGAGTAAAACCTGCCAAAAAGTATAACAAGTGACAAAATGTACAGACAAGAAGAGAGAAAGAAGCGTCTATTGCAATCCATGAGAAGAAGAAAAAATAACAACACGGACATTCTTCTTTGTCTTGACTCAAATAATCAATAAGTTCCACCTTTTTCCCAAACTTGGCTCCTGGAAAATCATGCCATCTATTGTGTATAGCAGAGAGTGATCCTGTTCAGTGTAGATCCCACTAACTACAAATAATAAGATGTAATTTAAAAAACTGAACTATATTTTGCTATCCCATTGCACTGATCGGGGGCAGTCATAGTGACTTAGGGGGTTAGTGACCAAGAAGTGAATTATTTATACCAAATATTCTTCTTACGGTTAGATCCAATCTCTTGGTCCCTGCAGAAGGTTTGCTATTAAATTCAAAATATGCTAGAGATTCCTCTGGTCATTTAGCATTGTAACCAGTTTCCTCCTGTCTAACTGAGCCCTGGTAAATTGTACTAGGTTGATGCCATGCATCTCGACAAGACTCTGGAATATGGATCAACAGATCCTGACATGTAAATCCAGTGAGGATATTTTACTGTTCACAGTTACAAACAACACTGTGTCTGAGCACCTTAAGATGTGTTCCTATGACAAACAACAAGTCCAAAACTGACGAAATGACACATTTTTTTTTTAACAATATTAAATGGAAACTAAAAAGTAATTATTAAACCATTACTATTAATTTTGTAATGTTATTGCAGATCACTTTTTGGACATTTAAGTGATCAAACACTTTGACTGGTATCAGCACTCAATACATCTAGCTGCATACAATAATGGCCATAAAGCCCTCACAGCTGCATTAAATCCTATAAGGAAAAAAAAAGTTGTTTGATAGATTGGAAATCCATTTCTATCTCACAAGCGTATATAAGAAAAAATTGTATCTGTAAGGATTGCTTATGAAAATTCAATTTTGAAAAACTTGGTTAACAAATTGAAAGGATACTACTATGTTAGATATTCTGAAAAGAATAAGCTACTTTGTGAAAGTACTTTACGGGGCTTTAAAAAAACACCGTCTTCATTTAAAAAATAAGATAAAACTAAACTACAATAGCTTAAATAAGTTATCATCACCATTTCCACTTCAGCTATAACATGTTCCAGCTTAGCAAAGAGAAACCTCTTTTCCTCAATCTTCCATTTTTTTTCTCATTTTGGGCACAGACAGAGGAGGGATGCGTGAAATTTCTCAAGCATTTCAGAAGGGTGAAAAGGAAAAAAGACCCAGCCAGTACCTATCAACCAATAGTAAATCACTCTGAATTAACAGTCAATTAAGGCCTAATCCTTTATTTCCCCCCTCTTTTATCCTCTTTTCAAAGATTAACCCAAAAATAAATCAAATTATAGGTAATTAACAATAAAGTTCTTTACTTTTCTTGATGTGAACCCAAATGGACCTCCCAGAAATACTAACCACAGCTAGACATGCCCTAATCAGAAACTTTAGCACAAAATTTCACTACAAAAAGCTTAATGTGGGCGTCATTTACCCAACCATAATTGAAAAAATTAACAGCATTACATGCATGACATTACAAAAGGAAAAGAAAACCCACCGAAAAGAAAAGAAAAACGGGGAAAAAAAAGAGAAAGAAACACAAACCCTAGCATGCTGAAAACGCTCCATTAAACTAGGTAGGGAGAAAAGATATAGACCTGACTCTTGGAGATAACGAAAGATGAGATAATTCAATTCAACGGAGGTGATGGAGGCCATGCTAGCAGAGCCCCACCCGAAGTTGACAATGCTGTTGCTACTTCAGGATCATGTGAAACCTAAGCGGCTTGGTTTTCAGCGGAAATAACAGTTGGTGGCTATTTGCCGGTTAGAAAATTCAGGTGAACTGTTACGCTCTTGCCGTTACGTCAGAGGCGCGACGGGAGGGAGGTAGGGAGTGGGGAGGCAGAGAATAGGGAAGATGATGACGTTTAGGGAGATATTCTCAACAGCTGAGCCAAACAGCTCCCTGAGTCCTGATACAACACAGAGGGTCGTGAATAGCAGCAGTGCTCTTCCTTATCCAAATTCTACACATTATTTTATTTTGCTTTGCGGACTAAGGGGAAAAATAATAATAAAAAAAAAAGAACGCAAAGTGTTTAAAAAAAAGAAAAGAAAACCTATTCTGCAAATTTCTTTGTCACAGACAGTCCTAGCTATTTTCACTTTCCCATAATTAGGCCTTGTTTGGATTGCGATTTTCCGTCGAAAAATTACGTGGTTTCCCGTGATCACATTTCTCTATTAACTTTTTTCCTCACATACATCAAATCGCTACAATAATTTTTCCATGAAAAATGCAATCCAAACACAACCTAACTTTTCCTCCTGCCAAAGAAGTCACTGGTATGGTATGGAGATTAAATTAAGGTGATGCCAAAAGAAAATTCAGTAGGCTAGTGATGGAATTGGACGGTAAAAGGAAAAGAGAAATAAAAATGTCCTTAGTAGTTAGTAGTATTAAGCGCAATTTTTTTTAAAAAAAAAAAGTCTTAAAAATAAAAAGGAAAAAATTGTCAGTCTTATATTACTTAAAATTAAAGGTTACAGAAGAATAACAACAATCAAGTGAATTCATTCAAGGGAATGAGTTGGGTGAAGCACGGGAAGAAGTGTAAATGGGAAATCCGGATTCGAACACTCCCACTTACACAATAAAAAATAAAAAATAAAAAGTGGATTCATCTCAAGTAAGAAATAATTAAACATAAGAATGTTTAGTTTTGCATGTTTGACATTTGCTATTATTGCAGTGTATGCAAGTGATTTCTTAGTCGTTTCGAATGGTTTGCATCATCATCAATGACCCATAAAAATTATACTCAAAGGACGGTAAATCGAAACTAGAAAAATTCTGAGTGTATGATTCGGAATTTGGAGGAAAAAAAATCTAAACCACTAATTACCCAATACTAATAAAGAGACGTAAATAGTCGTGGAGGATCGGTAAATACGTGACAATAAGCAAGAGTTCAATTTCGTTTAGTAACAAATAAGTGTTGGTGGGGGTGGCCAATTTGACGACAAGTGTGATTAGATTGCCTGTTTGGGGAGAAGATAGAATATTCAATTACATGTTCAATATATATTTCAATATATATATATATATGTATATATGTATATATTGTTTGTTGGTAATTACATGTTCAATTTACTTGGTGTAGCAGTGAAAGCAAACAAAAGTCACTACACCTTTTTTCTTTTTTCTCTTTTTTCCGGCTTTATTGAAGAAAGTCCTTCCAATGTATTGTTATGTTTCTGGAACAAGAATAATGTGTAGCTCTTTCCACAATTATTGTATGTATAATAATTTATGGTAAAACTTGTACACACCATTAATTGAATAAATATTTGTATAAAGATTTGTCATATTTGCAAGATAAGCACATAAAATAAATGGAACAACCGTACTATAAATTTCACATATTGTTATAAACCACCCTGAATTGAGAAAATTTTAGTGAAAATAATTTAAACTTTTACGAATTATTAAATAAGGAAAATCATTTGAAACATCTCTGAAAATTCGCCAAATGAATTTTTATAAGTCATTCGCTTTTAAAATATTAACTTCACATCCCTTATAAATTTAAGTTAACAAAATTTAATTTCAACCTAAATTTTTAACTATTTTTTAGCCTAAAATGACTACATGATCCATACATATGTAATCATTTTTCATGTACAGTAGCTAATCTATGACATTATGGGGACTTGGAGAGATACTTGCTTGGACTTCATATCTTTATGTCACCGCCTTAAAGCATGTAAGAATCTCAAAAGCACGTGATTGAGTTTGAGCTCGAGGAAGGAATTACTCTTTCCTTTCTTTAGACATTTTTCTTTCTTCTTACTTTTGTTTTTTTAAAAAAAATCAATTTCCAATCGAAGTAGTTTTTTTGTTATGATATGAAACAAATGTATACGTTAAGGTGTAACAAAAAAAAAAAAACAATTTAATTGAATATTCATTGCCAAAAAAAAATAATTTACTCTCAGACTTAACTGCATTGTTATCATGAAGAACCCCAAACACAAGCTCATTCAGATGGTTAAGCTCAACATGCTGCTCCATATATGAAAATTGAAGACTATTCATCAAAATGGCGTCTATATCATCCCATAAATTGCCTAGCATCTATTTAGTTTATTGTTGAATCATAATGCACCTATTTATTACCTATACCCTTGAAACAAAAAAAAAATTAAGTGCTCGACGAGGAGGCTTGTAAAACAACCTTCTTGTTAATCATATGGCGATCTTTGCACATGGCCTCCAATGGCTGAGCTTTGGATGCCTCCAGCCAAATCAATTTATTCCTCGATAATCCTTTTCCAATCAAAACTCTGAATTAAATTGTTAAAGATCCAATGCTAAACCGACCGACCACCCTATGCGCCAGGCCAACACCAGTACAAGACCTCCTTCCTAGAGGTGGCAAAATGGGTGAGATGGACCAAATTTACTTGAGTTTGAGATGGAATCGAGTCATATGGATTTGGATCCAACCTTACCCATATGTATTTTAAGACTAACTTGGGCGGGATCACTTTGGGATGAGTTTAGATTAATCCTGCCCAATATTCAAATCTATTTTCTATATATTTTTTCCTTTAATTCATTTTTTATTTTTTATATAACTTTAATATTTTTTATTTATTAAATTTTGTTAGTCTTATTGTGAATTTATATTTTCATGAATTCATTTTTTCATCAAATAGGGAATGTAATGCAATTTCCGACAAAATCATATTACCATAAAAAATGATCTTTGAGTTAGCAAGTAGTAGCATTGGGTAATCGAATTAGTCCACCGAGTCTGAATAACATTGATTTACGCTCTAGAATGATCAATAATTGCTTAAAAAAGACATAACATTTTGGTAAGAATACACATATCTTTTCCCTGGATTAAATCAAAAGAATGAACATTTTGGTTTATTCATATATGAAGTTGATGTTTTCACTTCCTCAAAAGCATGAAAACAAAATGGTTAAGGAAATAGCTAACAAGAAAAAAAAACATGCAAGTGCCTTATACTCAGGATTCCCACCAAAAATTGGATTAACAAATAAAGAAAAAGATAGATATATAACCATATTCCAACAGATATCAAGATGACCAAGGCACTTAGAATGTTGAATATTTATCATCATCATTGTCCAAGGATAGCAGGTCTAAACTAACTGAAACGTTGAAAATTCTTGTGGATAATGACTAGGAAGACTGCTAAATTATATTCGCTGGTATGACTAGAAAAACTATTAGAGATAATTTTTGAATAAACTAAATTTTTTGGTGAGATATTTGGACCCAATGGATAACCAAGTATTTTCCAAAATTTCCCATCAATTAATGGATATAATTAAAATTTGTCTCATTTTAAACCCAATATCAAATTACAATACTCATCCCGTCCAAATTCCCCACCGGCATGGGTGGCCATTGGGAGCCACCTCTACTCCTTTCCCTTATTAATCCAAGAAAGAAAGCCCTCGAATTTATTGTACTCCACAGTCCACAAATGTTCATCGCCGGTAGTAATAAAAAAAAACAAAGAAGAAAAAGTCTCATCCATACAATCTCTCTCCAATAATAGTAGTATATAATAATAGCAATAATCTGAATTGCAGATGAATATTATCATAAACAGGGTGAAAAGATGAATCCAACGGCAGATACCAATCCAAGACCATCTAAGAGCTCTCACTCCGGTCGGGTTTGGAAGACTTGCATGCAACCTAAGTCAAAACAACAGGTTAACAACATAAGATACCAATCCGTGTTGTACTAACGTTAATTAATTTTAATAGTATATGTTTCGTAATTCTACGGATTTGTCAATTGATTAGCAATAGCATTTCAGCTCGACCGCACCTGATGGTTATCAAGGCTGGGAATCCACTCGTTCGTTGCCGGGTTGGTTTTGAAAACCACCTCTCTAATTCCTCCGTGATTATTCTCCAGCCGAAGATCATAATCATTTCCGTTGATCTCGCTCGCCACCTTTATGAAACCGCTTCCCGTCTGGCCAATAAAGCACCACTTATAATTAAGCTTTAGGCAATATCGTCACTGCACTTTTTTAACACCCCAAAAAAAAAAAATTTTGCTATTACAAAACAAGATCTTCTGAAGAAAGGCAAACAGTGTATTGACTGGACCTTATGGTGCTGTTTGTCAACGGAATCCAATTCTTCATAGTAATGGGTCTCCATGAACTCTTCTTGCACCACTGGGCTCGTGCCAAATAAAGTTGCCTACAGAAAAAAAAAAATCATGCATCTTTGTTCAATATTTGAATATTAAAATTGAAAGGACATAAATAGAAGAGGCCCGCCGCCCGGAGGGGGGGGAATCATGAGAAAGAAGCAGACATGAGATTGAGATTGAAGAGATATAAGCTTGTCCAGCTCCGGGACAGCGAAGCCGTGTTGATCAGGGACGTAGGATGTTATTGGTGGGGTGGATGTAGAATCCGATTCGCTTCTATTGGGCTTGGTGGGTCGGTTGGGTGCCAGGGACTCGAAGTGGGCTCTGACCTGGTTGGTGATCTGTTGTTGCTGATCTGCATCTACCACCTCATCGCTCCGGCTAGGTTTGGTCACCGTCGGCTGTCCCACCATGGTGAAGAAAGGGAAGTCTGAAAGACCCAGCTGATACTCTTTCTGGTGTTGAAAGGAGTTGAGGGATAGAATGAGAAATTGAGAATACGATGATGATTTAGAGGGAGCAGGCTTTCTTTTACCATCTGAGTTGACGAAAGTCATCTAATTTGTTTAATACTGCAATGAGGTAAATACAATGGGAAGTGTGGGGGTAAAAGTGGTATCAAAATAGTTTATTGAATTTTTCCTAAAAAAAAAACATATAGTTTATTGAATTTTCAATGGGTAATAACTAAGCCATGGACCCAAAGTTACGGATCTAAAGTTTGAATAAAAGTAAAACTAGTCCCAAATATTTCAGTTTATATGCACATGTAGTCCTAATGACGAATTTTATCAATTACTGCTGCATCATGGTCAAGTGTCAATAACTAATTTTTGAAAAAAAAAAATCAATAAAATTTTTTTAGCCATAATCTATAATAAAATATGACTAATTACTCATATATTGGTTACATGACTACTTAGCCTTTAACTTTTTTTTATCAATTGAATTTTTGTATTTATGGATTAAAGGTTAATTACTCAAACAATCGTCATGCAAGTAATTAGTTCTTTTCTACTACAAATTATGGTCAACAATATTTATTTCAAGTTTTTTAAATTCTTTTTTAAGAAATTAACTGCCAATACATAATAGCAAGTGACTAGATTCCGATATCAATTGGTAAAAATAAATTAATAAGATTAAATGTGTTTAGAGATTAAAACATTTGGAATCACATTTATTTTTTTAGAACTTTGGAGACTAAAAGGGCTCATTTTCGAAATATTTGGGATCAAAATTGCAATTCTTTCTTAGATGAAAGAGAAAATTGAAGTTTTGGTACCAAATATTTGCAGATCCACAATTTTAGTTCCTAAAGTTTAGACAAAAGCAAATTTAGTACTGAATGTTTTAATTTTTAAGCACATTTAGTCTAATTAACTAGTTTTGGCAAATTATTACCGGAATCTAGTCATGAGAGTAGTACATGTCGACAGCCAAATATTAAATTTTCTATATATGACGGCTAAATTTTAATTTTCTATATATATATATAGCAAAAAAAAAAGGTGGTGGCCTCAATCTATAATTAAAACTTTAAAAGGCACTAATTAGTCGTTGAATTGGACGTACTTATTGTACGTGTCGGAGGTGGCCTAATTAGATGCCTTCAATTTGGTCCTCTTGATCAAAGCCATGTCAGTACGGAGGTGAAAGGCAGGTTTGGTTATCTTGATTCGAAGTACTTTAGATGCCTTCAATTAACTCAAAAATCTGATGCGTATTCTTTTGTCGTTGTACTTCTTGAAGTGCTTTGTGCAAGGCCAGCCATTGATAACTCACTTCCCAGGCAGCAAGTAAACCTTGCTGACTGGGGAATGTCTTGTCTAACGAAAGGAGAACTTCACAAAATCGCTGACCCTCTACTCTTGGTAAGATTAACTGGAATTCATCGAGAAGATATGGGGAAACTGTTGAGAAGCGTTTAAAAGAATGTAAAGTTAATAGGCCTAATATGGTTGACGTGTTGTGGGATCTTGAGCATGCATTGCAGCTTCAACACACTGCAGTTCCAGAACAATCGCATGAAGACGGCAATACGGATATTTCATACAACTCGCCATTGCCAGTAATTCGTCGCTTGCCTTCTCACAGCATTGCCATCAGTGAAGATGAAATGGGTTCAGGTACTCATCTGACAAAAGTAGCACAAATACTAGATAGCGAGGTGCTCTCTCAGCTATGGATGGATGATGCTAGATGATGTTGTGAGTTATATGTGATTGCCGTCTACTTTGTTTTATCCGCGTAGATCTATTGCCTGTTCGAGAAATATTTTGAATCCTTCCTGTAATGGCATTAGTAAATTTTTCTGTGATGCGGAATGCAAGTCGAGCTACCAAAAGCTTATTAATTAGTTTAGCAATTCTTAGGAAGGTAATGAGATTCCGCATATTGGTGTTGGCATCTCTTTAACAGCTTTGACTAAAAAGTTAGAGACTTCTTATGGAGATAAAACGAAAAGAATACTTCTGCTAATACATGGTTGTAACCCAAAAGAAAAAAAAAAAAAAGGATTGTTCCCAAATATCTAGTTCTGATAATCGCCATTGCAATGTGACAAAGATAAAAAAGACTCATCAGCAATTGCTTGCTGGATAAGGGCTGTTACTTGATAAGAATTTTCTTGATTCATAAGATGGAATGCGTATAACATGCAGCAGTTGCATTGTTGGACTCTATGAAATGGAACTGGAAATCATCTTTCGTCGGTAGACTCCAAATAGAAACAAATTTCACTTGTGCCCATTGCCCCTTCGATTTGGGCCAGAAGCGAGGGAACGCATTCTGGATCTCATGCCAAAGGGGCTTCTCGTGCTCTCCCATGGTTCAGAAGATGGGCATAGCTTGGCAGATTCCCGGGGAACTTCGGGGCTTGCAGTCTCGTTCCCTGCTGCACAAGTCGAAAGAAGAATTCTAGAGTCAATATAACATGGAAGAAATGTGCATTGAAGAGAGACTAATAGAATCAGCATCGCCCACATGCCTCTCATGTTTGTGTTTGTCATTCTCTCCAGCTCTTGGCTCAATATGTAGCGTCAGCTTTTGGTGTTGAAGCTGCGGAACTGGTGCGCATGGCATCTCTATGGTCTAAGCCAGTTGTGCCCGAGATCTTGAACTTGTCATGGTCGAATAAATTTCTCAAGGACGGGTGAATTAGCTTTTCAGGGTGGGACCTTATCATTCCGCTCTGGATTTTCGGTCGGTAATAAGATTGAAAGCAATAATGCACCTTTTAACTATTTTGTGTTTGTCAGATCATTGAGTTTTCTTCAAGTTTGCTAGTAGTTAGTTGCCCTGTGCGCTTCACCTTTTCCAGCACCGTTGACTTTAGATGTAGCCAGTGGGAAAGTATACTTTATTAGCAGTCGCCAGAGGGGAACTTGAACATTTGCCCTGTCCGTAGTAATACCATAGTCATGAATTCCAACAATTTTTTTCTGGTGCCTGATCTCCTGAAAAAGCAGGAGCAATCTGATTTTCCTTGCCTTTTCCAGTTTGTTTCTTTCCTTTTCACCCATTACCAGAACAGGGAGGGTAGAGAAGCACGCATTTCTCTTCCCACCACTTCTGATCATGTAGTAGATTTTTTTCTCATGAACTAGCGGTATGCTTCCCCTGGCTGAAGCAACCAACAGTAGTAATTAAGTCTCGATGGTGATTGGTGAGTGAATATGAACTACATTCCCTGGGAATAATTCATCTCAGAAGCAGTACCAACCATGTTATCTGCACATGTATGTATATGCATGCATACATGATACGACTGTGCAGATTACCGCCGACTCCATCTTCGGTGGAACAATTATACATAGATAAATAATTGAATTGAGTGAAAGCGCTACTATTTCTTCCCTTCTAGTTCAAGTTGATCTCCTCCACAAGATTAAAACGTAACTTTGAAGGTGTTCATCGAAAGTCATATTGCGGAGTTAGAGATAATGGCTTGTGACTCAGACGGCCAGACCCAAAAAAAAAAAAAAAAAAGAAGCCCGGAGATCAAAACATTAGCGTTCAAGTTCGCATCGCATGATTCTCTCTGTTGCTTGCTTGCATTTTTCTGTCACGAGCTTTATTGCTTCTTAACACTCTAGTGTGGTAGTAGTAGTTTTTAAGAACAAAAATGATTTCTTCCATTGTAAATCGTTCGTAAACCCCGCGGCATAATGCATGGAGATTGTACAACTCAAAAACACCTGCATGAGGCGACATGATAAAATCAAAGATCTCGCTGCCACTTTTTTTTTCAAAAAAAAAAAAAAAAAAAACTCTGGCGCAACTGCATTTCTTTTCATCAGACCTTTCCTATCTGTCTTTTCCCTATTTTGTTGTTGTATGTGTACATGTTAAACAACATATTCTTCTTCTTTTGCTCTGTCTTTTTTTTTGTTTAAAATTGTTTCACTAAATTGTTAAGAAATTCTCTCCACAAGTTAAGGTTCACCGAAGGCCAAAGGCTTTTGATTTTGATGTCAACTGTATGGATCTGTAATGCGTGTGTCAGCTTTCAGGCGAGGCATGCTCTCATGCTTGGAGAGTTTTCTCAGACTCGTGAGCCTAACAAGTACTATTGATGTTTATAACAAATTATGTACATACAATTTAAGTTCAAAATGGTCATCTTACTTTGATTATGGATTTCTTTAACTGGTGTGCAATTAGTATTTGTTAGTACACTTAAATTTCAGTATATTAATAGACATATTTATTGCACCTTGCATTTTAGTTTTTTTGAATTAAAATTATTTATTTGCAAATAAATCTTATTATTATTAGAGTAAATCTTATATACACTGACGATATATACACCATCACGGTTAGATATATGATACATGCAAAATTTGAATTTCAAATTCAAATTCGAATTATGTATCATGCATCTAAGGTTGAAAGTGTATACACTATTGATGTATAAAAGATCAATCATTGTTATTATTTATTTATGTTGGAGATTGGGACTAATCCAACGTAGAGTGAGGGGGAGGAATTTGGGATAAACAAATTATGTCTTTAATACATAGTCTAATATGCCCTTACTTCTAAAGAGAATTACATTATTTTAATTACTCACTTTTCTACAATCATTCCGTATGTATTGAATTGCCCTCCGAGGCTTGGTCTGGTGGTTGAGGTTGCTGAAGATGGAGCCTTAGATTCCTGGTTCGAATCTTACTGCTAGCAAGTTGTGGAGGGTAGGGAATAGTTTGCGCGATCCACTCCCTGCGGGACACCTCTAAAAAAAAAATCCATATGTATTGAATTAACCACCACTTTTCCAAAAAAAAAAAAATATTTTTTAAATTACAACAATTTAACTATTTTAAATTATTACTATTGTCTGACCAAAAAAATAATTCTAATAATTTTTAACATCTTTTTATTAAGGTGTTTTTCTAACGGGTGACTAGAAATTTTTCTAACAAGTACCCTATAATTTTTGTTAATACACCTATATTTCACCTAATCAATCATGTATATACACACTAATAATTACTGTGTTTCTTTTATATTTATATAATTTTTTAATTAATTTTATATTTCTAAAATTTTAATATGAAAATACATTTTA